ATTACCTGGCAAATCCTTTGTGGGCCGTGTACATTCAACAGTTCTGCATAGCACACAGGACTAAATGACAAAACTGCTTAGGCGGCTACTGTCGTCACTGGTACTTTGGTTGACATGCTCTTCCAAGAGCTAGTGTTATATACTCAATGCAACTTACGCCTTAATTCAAAAGAGATTCTGTCATTTACAAAAGAGAACAAAAGTCAAGAATTTCCATAAAAAGCAATAAAACAGTGCACGAGGCATAGGATCCTTTTGTCTCTCTGGTTGCGCAGAGGAGCTGCCGTTGATGCGGGCGGAAGGGTTAACTTTTCAAATGGACTGGTTGCCTCCTGATTTCTCGCACATAAAGTTCAGGGAGAGGCTCCTTCCCTCGTAATGAAGCTCTCTGCCGCTAATGGCCCATGCAGGCTCCCTTGGCTCCTCCAAATTAGAAAGACTTTTGTGCTCCTTTGCTTCATTAACAGTAAAGAGAGGGAGATTGGTGGCTATTTAGGGCACAGGGAAATTGGTGGCTATTTAGGGCAAGTGGAAATTGTAGTAATTATGGTTGGCGAATTCTCTTCATGGTGTTCTTTGACTGTTGATGTTCTTCTGTGATGTGCTTTGCAGAGGAGCCCACCACAATCGATGCTGGCATCTGGCAGGAGCTGATCTGCTTTGAAAGTTTTGGGTGCTGGTAATGGTCAATGCCAGGCATCTTGCCTGCTGGGATATGGGTCTTCTACATTTTGATTCACTTTTCAGAGTGCACTGTGCAGTCCTTTCTACCCTGGCTATGATGATGGTGTGTTTGGAGACTTTCTTCCTGGCCTGCACTCCAGAAAGCTGGTACTTAGGTAGGAAACTGAATCCTGAACCAACTGTGGCTGAGAAGGACGAGGGTGGCTGGATGGGATCAGGTGGCTGGCACAGCAGGCCAGGCACTAAGAGAAGAGAGAAAGGGTAATTCAGAACCAAAGCTGCCATGGAGGGCTCAATAGGACGATCAGAAGGAAGGCCTGTAGATGCTGAAGGCAAGCACAACTTCTCCGGCGCTAGCGTTTAGTGGTGTGACCACATTTGCGGAAAGGTCTGGTAGGGTCTAGAGAAACTGAAAATGGCCTGAAAAGGACTTCCTTGACAGTGAGACCTACTGCAGCGTGCAACCAGAGTAGCTCCACAGGTCCTTCTGCACCTGGAGGGAAAATGGCTGGGCAGGGGCAGCCCAGGCCCAGAAGTAAAAGGGCCGCTGGTTATCAAGTCCTGCTGGAGCTGGAGATCCATACCACACCTACCCGCTAGAGGATAGAGGGGACCGTGAACTTGACAGCACTTGGACACTCGCGACTCCATGCAAACTCTCTGGAAGACCAACACCTGCAGGATCTTGGGAGGCAAACGGTGCTTAAAGCCAATGATGCCTAGTTCTGAAGCACGAGGCAGCACAGCAGGGCACCTCTACGGGGCAGAGGAGCAATTCAAGAATGCCATGGGATATGCAGAGAAGGCAAGGAAACACTTCCCAAGTGACTCAACTGACAACGTTTTATTAGAAGAAATATGAATTCCTCAGTAAATCTTAGCACTTTCCAAACCAGCATCCACTACTAGAATGTGTAGTTTGTACATGCCCCGAAGAGGTTTTGGGTCTGCTAGATGTTTACATCTTCTTGGCAAATATTCTATAGATATGGAGCTAACTATGTCAAATTCTGATAACTTGTGACCATGTACTTATCTCCTTTATTGATAAGTTTATAGGAAACCTGAAACTTAAGTGGTTTTCTCAGTAGTCCTTTCTGTTGCAAAGAAATACAGCCAGTTGGAGTCTTCTGGAGGGTGTATAATTTGTTTATTTACCTGACAAATACTCACATGATGTGAAAGGCCACTTTATCTCCTTGTGTAAATCACGAACTGGAAATTCTGATGTGTCAGTCTCTCCTGGATCTAGGTGTTCTGTGAATGATGTAAGGAGATGCTCATGTAATCTGAAATGTTTAGAATCATTCTCTGGCCCATGAAGCATCCCTTCCTCAGTATTGACCAAGACACTACTACGCTAAACTTTCCTACCTCTTACCTCTAGTTCTTAGTTCCAAGTTATCTCTTCACTGAATTTGTTTCCAATCATTTCCCAGAAGCTTAGGTTTTTGTTAAATGTAGTTGGGAAAAGAGTGGTGGAGGGTCTTGGGGACGCAATGTTTCAATCAGGGAAAGAGAGGGGATGATTGAGTCCAAAGAGCCAGGGACATAGCAAGAAAATGCAGCATGCTAAGGGCTTTCTAAGGATTACAATTTTAAAATAAATTCTACAAGCTGGATGGTAAGGACATGAACACCTGTTGCTAGGTTAGAGGCAGGATGAAAGGGCCTAGGGGAAACTATGGAATGGACTAGAACTTAAGAGTGTCCTTGGCCTCCAGCCGCATTCTTGGAATATGAATTAAGGCTTGTCCAGTAGTCCCAAATTAAATCTTGGTGTCAGTGGAGGACAGAAACTGTAGCTGTCCTACGCCCAAATACAGCAAGAAATTTCTATCTTCTCTGCAATTTCTAAAGATTCAGTTAATGCTACATAGTAGTGATTTTACTCCTAAGTGTCCCCAGTATTTTTATTTCTTTATTTTATTAATGGACGCAGCAAACACATCAATCCCACCAGAAGTGCTCCATTGCCAGGGCCAGTGAGTGCCCTGTGATGTGAAAACATTTGGGCATGTTTTAAATTGACCCAACATCCTGCACAGACCTCTGGGCATTCAAGCAAGTAGTAAAGAAGGGCAAATCTGGCAAAGCTTAGGCACTTTCTTAAGTGAGCTAGACGTAGACATCATTGGTCTTGGCAGTGAATACTGCCTGCTTTAGCTGGCTGGTCTCTTAAAGTTTCTGTCTTGCCACTTGAGGTATCACTGTGTCCATTTTAAAAGAAAGTAGGCCAGCAGGCTGTTGGGGTGCACACCTTAATCCTAGCACCCTGAAGGAGCAGCACAGCTTTAACTTATCCCAGACACCCTAGCAACTTAGGGAGAGCCTGTCTCAAAGCCAAGAAAGCGAGGGTGACTAGAGATGTAACTCAGTGTGAAGTCCCTGGGTTCAACCCCCAGTAGGAGAGAGAGAGAGAGAGAGAGAGAGAGAGAGAGAGAGAGAGAGACAGACAAATAGAGAGACAGAGAGATAGACAGAGAGGCAGAAAGACTGAGAGAGACACAGAGAGAGACAGAGAGACCAAGAGAGACAGAGTAACTGAGAGAGACAGAGAGAGACACAGAGACTGAGAGAGACACAGAGAGAGACAGAGAAGCCAAGAGACTGAGAGAGACAGACGCAGAGGGAGACAGAGAGACAGACTGAGACAGAGACCTAGAGACTGAGAGAGACAGAGAGACACAGAGACACAGAGAGAGACAGATCGAGACTGAGAAAGACAGACCAAGAGACTGAGACAGAGAGACACAGAGAGACAAAAAGAGAGGCACACAGAGAAAGAGAAAGACAGAGACAGAGCCAGAGAGAGAGAGAGAGAGAGAGAGAGAGAGAGAGAGAGAGAGAGAGAAAGAGAGAGAGAGAGAGGCAGAGAGAGACAGAGGCAGAGAGAGAGAAGAGAAAAATCCAGGCTTACATGGAGCTGGCAACCTGTTCACATTTGCACACGCTCCCGTGTGCAGATCTCCATTTCAGTTTTTGCTCCTTTACCTCTAACTTGCCAATGTGTTAACAGTTTAAAAGTTTCCTTTTGTAGCTGGGTCTGGTGACACAGCCCTGACGTGTCAGCTGCACAGTAGGCTGAGGCAGAAGAGGCTTAAGCCTGGGGGCTCACAGCCGCGCTGGCAACGTGTGGAGAGCCTGCCCGGAAATAGTTTTATTCCTCCTCTTAATCTGCCACTGGATTATAAAGTAAATTACTATATATACACATGTTCCACCTCCTCCTTCATCTCATTTCCCTCTGTACTGAGAATTTATCTGCCCGCAGCAAAATGCCAGCTAGATTCTCTCGAAAACTGAACCACAAGGAGAAAGACCATTGGAACGCACTGAGTTTTCTAAACTTATGCTTTATTTTTTAGGTCCACTTTGACTCGCTTTTAGAGTCTGAGCCTGTGATTAAATCTGTGTTTGAGTGAAGCCCTCAAAATCACTTTCTAGAGTGGGGAGGACAAACTGGAGGGTCTTGGAGCCAATGTCTGTAGATCTGCTTTGTGACACTGGCAGACCCATACAGCTTCTGCCATATCTGCCTCAGTTTCTCCCTGTGTTACAACGCAGTTCTCAAACCCTTTATTAAGCTTAGGAAGACAGCTATGGGAGCCTTTGAGGTTTCTGTGCAGGCCTCACTCATACGAAATGCAAGCTGAGCGCCTCTGTGTGTGACCCCTGGCCTGCTGGATGCCCAAGGGCAGGAGAGAGCACCTCCGGGTTAAGGATCAGGCTGTCTCATTTTAAAAACACAAACCCTAGCAAACAAATGCAGTAGTGGCTGAGCAGGGGGCGTTGGGCAGCCTTCAGCACAGCGGCCGGCTTGCTGCCCAGATCCACCCTTGAATGCAGAGGGCCACTGAGGTCATGGCTGCGGGGCTCTTGGAGTCAGGGGCTAAGGATCGAAGCCTGGGGGGTCCTGGGCTTCTGTCACTGCTCCCCACCAGAATGTCTAATTACTACAAATAACGAGTCTTCTGCGGCTGATCAACTCGGTATATGACCAAATTCCGGCCATGCGCATTTCTTTGTTAAATGAATGGCTCATGTGAACGCACTGTTATATTTATTGTACCTTCAGATGAGAATATTGTCCCTGCAGCCCACCAGCCAGTGTTATATACAAAGCGCCAATGTCCCCTTCCTCCTGGACTGTCCTAACCCGTGCAGTGATTGCTGAACCCACCACAGACACACCGCTGAGGGCCTCAGATGTGTAGGAAAGAACGGAAGCCTGCAGGTGACGGAACGGGGATGCATCAGGGTTAGAACGACAACTAACTTTGCAACGCTGTGTCGTTTTTTCTAAATCACTCTAGAACTAGTGCTCCCGATGTTCCCTGCGATTTAACCATCACGGACAGCAGAAATGAGACAACCACGGTCAATTACGTCCACGACACGCTGTCGAACCGCTACGGCTGGATGGCTCTACTCCCGGGCCGGGAGACTCACGCTCTGCGATTCGCGGACCCTCGCCTCAACAGACGCTTGCAGGTGACTCCAGGGCTCCCTTCCCCGGCATCTCCCAGGCCCGGTGAGGGCTCCTACTTTCCTTCTTTGTAGTTGTTTTCGCAGATATTAGCTTCCGCAGATGCTGATAAGCAGCAACAGCGTCTTTTGCGAGATAAACGTGCCCTGAAAATGAGATTTAGTTGATCCAAATCCCATCTTGGACGCAGAATAGTTGCACTTGAAGCATCACATTTACTAATTCAATTGGAAAGAGCTTCCAGGAGTTCTCTAGAATTGAAGTTTTTAAAATTACAAGCTTAAAAACGATTTTCCTCCATTCATACATTTCGTACTGCCACCTGGTGGTGAAAGGTGAGCGTACAGAGCGCGGGAGCCCCAAGGCCGGCTGCGCCGGGTGCGGCCGGGAGGGACAGCAAGAGCCATTTAGAAAGTGGGTGCATTTTTTCTGAAAAGCGAGAGGGAGAGGAAGCTGCCTAAGGTCCTTCCCGTGCGGCTCCTTCCTCTATCTCAGCCTCCATCTCAGGGAGCTGGAGCCGCCGCCGGGCTGCTGCGGTGACAGGAGCGGGCAGAAGCGCGGGTCCTTCCTTCGCCGCCGGGTTCCTGCCGCGCTCCTGCCTGCCTTTCCTCTCCTGCAGCCCGGGAGCGTCAGGGGAGTGTCCGTGCAGCGAGCAGGCTGCGCCTCTGGGGGTGCACACCTTGCGCATGTCCCCCGCTTTCCCGATTCCAGGGTGACTGAGTCCCGCCTTCCTCAGTTTCCCTGGCTGTTAGCTGAGCGCTGGGGAGCCGCAGATGCTCCAGTGGTGACAGCTGGGACGCGCCAGCCCCGGCCAGCCCCGGTCCCGCTGCCTCTGCGCGCCCTGGGAAGACTGGGCAGGTTCCAGGCCTGCCCCGCTGTCTGCCCCAATACGCGCCCGGGCCCTAGCTGGTCGTGGTTTTCTTCTGTGTTAATTGAAGCTGATCAACACGAAGAACCTCACGGCTGCTTTCCGCTGCACACCCAAGATTTCGTAGTCCTAGTTACAAACTTAGTATGAGATAGACGCAGGCAGGCCAGTCTCCCCCTGCAAACCGCACTTGCTCTGCGGGCTTGTTCCTCAGCTACCTCCCCCGGCTCGGCAGGTCTTGGGGGTCGGTCGGGGTGGGGATTCCTCACTAAATGAGCGTTATGATGTTTTTCCCCCTTGCACCTGAAGTACGCCGCAACCTTCGACAACTTTTCTCCTGGGAATTACCTCCTGCTGGTGCACGCAGGCTTGCCAGCTTACCCTCGTGTCCTCGTGAGATGCGGAAGTCGAGCGGGGCGGGCTCTTCTGTCCCTTCCCTCTCCTGGCCAGGACCAAGGCTGTGACTGGTTTTTCAACAGCCAGTCGAGGCAGCTCACCTACCTAGGTAAGTTTCCAGCGAAGCGAAGCGTACTCTAAGGACGCGGACTCAGGAGCCGTGTGCGTGCTTGAATTCCGGGCACTGTGCAACGAAGTGAGGAGCGGAGGGAGACAGCGTGCATTGTGACGGAATGGCGGGCTCTGAAATCCGACTGTGGGGAGTTAACCCCCATGCAAGACTTACCAGGTTGGGGACATTAAACAGGTGCTCTTCTTCTAGTGAGTCTAAGCTCCTCCGATGCAAATGTGGTGCTAAAACAGCCTGTGTCAAGTGGATAAAAAAGATACTGTGTTTTTACACACTGGAGTATTGCTCAGCCATAAAAAAAATCTCAGAAACTCGAGGGGTTTATAGGTAGATGGATGCAAATAGAGATGATACTCAGACGTGAAATAATCAGACACACACGTACAAACATCGTATTATCTCATAGTTTAAGAACCTGAAAGAGTAAATAGAATCTAGAAGGTGCAACAGATATTGTGAAATGGAAAGAAACTGCTTAAACGGAAGGAGCAACTGGGGTGGGGGAAAGGACTGGAGAGAAGGAAGGAAGGGACATGGGATCATGCATATGTACAGACAGCTTGAGAACCGTCCTGCTGAGTTCTGGTGGGCTACTGGAAGGAGCCAGGCTTAAATGTACTTTGTTCTTCTTTTTAATTTCTTATAACTTTTTTAAAAACCAATTTTACACACTTATATTTGGTTAGCAAAACAACTAATTTGAAGACAACATTATACAATATAGCAACCATTGTTGAATTCCCATTATTTTGTTTAGTGAAATTCTATATCATCTCAATTTTTTTTTTTTTACTATTTATTCTATTTAAAAAAAAATATAAGAAAGAACCTACCTCGAAAGTTGGGGTATCACATGAAGGAATACCTTTAAAATCTTGATCTGAAACCTAGTCCCACGAAATACTTCCTAAGCATTGAATCCTTTGGCACCTCTAGTGCACTACATGATGACACGTGGCTGACCGTGACTGTAGACCTCAGCTCGCTGTGCGAACAGTTGCTTCCTGTGATGTCCTGTAGGACAGAGACAAGACAAGCATCCAAAATGATGGTTTTGTTGAGAGTTAATTTTAATAGATCCTCACCTAATGCAGGGCGCTATACCATCACAGCAGGATCCAGTCCCTGCCAGTCAGGTGTGGCCTCCGGACTCCCAGGGCTGGACACCATCCTGGGCTCCTGCCGCTCCCTCTTGCGCTGACCATGTGTTTTGGCCAATGCTTGAGGCCCAGGACTACCAGGTTTTAGTATCACCAGCCAGAAGAATTGGATGTTTTCTTGATGTTTGTAAAGTTTTTGCCAAAGCAAATGTTGTATTTTTTCATTTGCATTGCAATGTACCATTCACATTTTATGTCTTATTTGGCAGATCCACAAATGTAGGCTGAGGCTATAAAACCTAAGGATGGACAGAAATTGTTGGGGACCATTGACCACTAACGCCAACTACAACCATTAAGTAACAGCAAATAGTGGCCATTAACTTTAAGACTGTTCACTTGCTATATAGTCTAGAAATTTTTATCTTAATTGCTCGCTCTTGTTCTGTTACTTAGCATACCTCTGAAAAGCCTGACTCAATTCATTGGTCAGGTTTTATTCATCAACTTCAAGCTAATTCAAATATCCAAGTAAGCCTAACACTGTGTGCAGACATTTAGGACACAAAGAAAGACAAACAGTGCAACTGCAGATATTTCATCCTTTCATAGCAGTCTTTCTTAAATTGAGGGGGAGGGTTTTTTTTTGTTTTTGTTTTTGTTTTTTGGCTGGCTCATGCTGCCTTAAGGACAGGTCTGGTGTGCCATGTGGAGCTGGGGATCGAACCGCAGTCCCCTGCACCTGACTGAGCTTGCCCAAGCTAGTGCTTTAAACACCTGAGCCAACCGGCAAGCCCCTGGTCTTCCTTAAATGAATGCATACATTTATGGTCTAAGTACACCTGTACGTAGGTAGCTATTTGTGTGCACGGATAGTCATCCATACATAAGCATTTGTAAGTGTATATGTGCAGATATAGGCTATGCATTGACTATCGCTATTGGGCATTTTAACGAGGGAGAAAGCTTGTATTTATTTAAAAGCTTGTTTGTATTACAACATCTAATGTCTCAACCTCTGAATAAGATTTGGAAAAGGAGCAACGAGTAAGACGAGGTTGGAATTTAATAAATAGAGACTCTTCCTTTGGATTCCTAGCAGTGGCTTGCACCTTTGTCACACTCTGAGCATTGGGTAGAGTAGAGTGGCTAGACCATGTCTACTCCCACTTCCAGGCTGGCCCAGAGGGAGCCGAGGGCAGGAGGAACGGAGGACCGTCTGCTTTTCCATGGTGCCCAATGCAGCTATGCTGGGCTGTGTAGATTTAGTTATAATTGTGCATGTACTTGGTTTAAAGTTCCTGAAACCTATAGGCAGGTGACGGTTCACGTGCCTGCTCTCTGTGCGTCTGCCTGCGCCCTCAGATGCTGTCATGACAGTGAGATGGCTATTGTAGCTAGAGCCACAGCAGCACAGCGAGGCACACAACTCCAGTTCTGTTTGACATGCTGCGTAGATTGTTGCCCTTACTTAAGTGTTTCCTTCACACACTGTGACTTGCAGCATTAGAACTGGAATCATTTACGTCAAACTAGTCAAGACAGTAGCACACCTGGGCTTACGCTGGCTTGACAAGGCATGGGGAAAACTGTGCCTAGAAAAGTCGCCTTGCACCTCAGGGAGCGGGGTGACCCCCCGGCGCACGGCATCATGTGCCGATTTCCTGGCGCGTGCTGCTTTTTCTTCCAGCCACTGCTTCATTCAGAGTGCTGCTTCACCGACGCCTGGCAATGTTTCCTTCATTTTTCTGACCACTTCTAAGCGGACCATCTTGTTATTGTTTGCAAGCTCACCACATCCCCGAGGATAGGAAGGTTTTTCAAAAATCACAGTTATCTACACTTCCTCAGTTGGCTGCTTCCTGTGTGATTTACCATCCCTGACCGACTTAGACCCAGATGAGAACGGAGAAGATAAGGACCCAGGCACTCGAGCTCCTGCGTGGCCCTCCACTAGGGTGTGCTGCCCACTAAGTAGTCATCAGTCACCCCCGAGCAGGGCGAGGGGCGGGGGTCTGCGAGGCAGGGTTGGGCCAGAAAACTTCTCACAGGTCCCCAGTGACAAGGAAAAAAGAAGCCGCGTGTGTATGGCCTGACCCTCGCGTTTCTCTTTTCCACGAAGGCAGGTCTTGCCTTTGTTCAGAAAGTGCCTTTATGGAAGGCTGGGGTTTTGCAGAACTCATGGCCAGTGCTTGGGGCTTGGGGTTTTAATCAGAGGCAGGCTGGCCGCTTTACCTAGGGCAAGGCATTATAATTGCTCCATGCCTCAATAGTTTCATTTATACAATGAGGTTAAGAATATTTACTTGTCTCTTCAACATGCGGTACAAAACACTCCCATGTATTACAGTATGATCAGCATGCATGTTGCTGTACTAAAAAATTTGCCCAATAGAGTATTTCTCTGGAGTTTTTCTTTTCTCCAGAAGATTAATGATGTTTGTATCTTGATTCCAATATATCAATGTGATAACATTTCTGAAAGTCTCCTTTTGCTTTTTGCTTTTTGCTTTTTCATGTTATGCATTTGGTACAGGACTCATTATCCAGCTTGGACTCATAGTGGCCCTCCTGTTTTCAGCCTCCCCAGTGCTGGCATTATAGGTGCACCCCACCACGCCCAGACTCGGCCCTGGCTCAGTGCACCCCGAGGGTGGGACCAGCACAGCGTGTGGCCAGGGATCGAACCCTGGTCTCCGCGCTTGCCTAGGCAGGCACTTTGTCTGCTAAGCTATCTTGCAGGTCTTTTCCTTCTGCTTTTCTAAACTAGCATTTGAAAGACATTTGGAGTCCACAATCAAAGGACAGCATGGAAACTGCTGCCATAACTAAAGTTTAATACCATGTAAGAAACTGGTCCCCACAGCATAAGGCAACTTCACGCATTTCAAACATACCATTCAAGCAGAGTGGTTTGGGTTACCTTTGCAGAACTCAAGGAGCTACCTACCAAGGAAGCCACACGTGAGCTCGTGGTGAGCTCCACAGCCACTAGCAGCAGCCATGTTGGCCAGGTGCACGCTTAGGAATGGCCTCTCTCAACTGGAACGTCTACACTGTCCCTAGGAGTGGGCATGACGTGTAGAACAAGTGTTTGTTTATATCTCTCAGTCAGGCGTCACACCCAGCGAGTCCATTTTCCTGTTCCTTCAGTCTGACTTGTGGGCAGCGCCCACCTCTGCTTCCCAGAGCCGCTTTGCAAAGCCTCTTTCCCGGCCGCGTTTTTCCAGGGACAGCTCAGTTCCTGGTGAACTATTTTTATTTTTTAGTTACATTAACGCTATGAAATAATTAGTCAGCTAATTAATCTGGTTTACAAGCTTTGTAGGATTCTTCAGCTGTCAGTCAGGCCCAGGCCTGAGGCCTCCATCTCGCCGGCTCTCCAGCCCATGTGATTCTCGTTGCCATGGCTACTGGCTACATCTGCTGACACCCCACTCTCTATTTATTGCTTAATTAAGAATTTCACGCTCAGCCCTTATCTGCCTCTAAGAACAAGCGCACACTGTTAAGAAATTCCGAATTTAGGCCTGGACACAAGGAGAGCCTTTCTTATGAGCTCGGCCGCTTGGAGCCTCTCTAACGATTCTCAGCATCGCAGCCGCCACCCTTCAATCAAAAATCATTAAATGGGCCAGAGATAATGAGCATGTAGCGTATCCAAAGGAGGATGTTTGCTTGGTCCGAAGGAGGAAAAGCTGCTAGGCCCCATGCTCAGCTCCACTTCAAAGAGAGATGAGACCCCTCATAGCCAGGGCTGATAAAGCCCCATTTGTTCTGGGCTTGACTTATGCAAAAGGTCTGGCCGCTCCAGTCGCATCCCCCAGCCCGGCCCCCGCCTCTCGCCTCCACCTTCGCCAGCCCCCTCCTTGGCCTTCT